CCCAAAGCCCCAGTAGATAGTTGTATGTCATAGTTGCACATCCTTCTAGTTGCTGTGTGTGGGACGTGGCCTCAGCATGGCCGGAGAAGTGGTGCGTCGGTGCGCGCCCGGGATCTGAACCCGGGCCACCAGTAGCGGAGCGCGCACACTTAACCACTAAGCCACAGGGCCAGGCCAGGACACACCTTAATACACTTTAAAATATCCCACTTTCCTTTCATAATTCCTTATGGATTTGTTGTCTGTAACTTTTTTTTCTTTTTTACTTTTGCTATGTCTTTAATTATGCTTGGGGATGGCCTTTTGTGGTATATTTAATACCCACTACATAGAAAATTTCTTCTCACTGAAGCTCACTCAAAATTCGGAGAATGCCTCCTAAACATAGGATTCTGGAGCCAAGTCTATGTTCACTCTATTCATGTTTTTCATGATTTTAGAGAAGTTAACATAACCCTGCTTAGCATTTGTCTCTCTTCACACAGAAGTGTCTTGGTCCAATTATTAGTCCCATGTTTGCAGTTACTCCTTTTACTCTATCCACTCGACCTAAAATGTCCTGTCCAACCTATGGAAATGTCCCCTTCTCTTTGAAATCCTAAACAATATCAATCACCCTGTCCTGTATGCTTTCATTACACTTTGTTTTTCTGTCTCAGTACCTCTCAAGGCCTGTTTTATGCTGTGTAGTTAGTGGCATGGGAGACTGATCTCCCTGAGAGCAGGTACTGTGTCTATTCATCTTTGTAACATCAGCATTTTACATACAGTATGTACTAAAGAAATTTTTGTTGTATTTGAATTCATTATCGCCTACCACAGAGGCCATCTCTTCCATGAAGCCTTCCTTGGTTAATCATTTCCATGTCTAATTTCTCCATTTTTTTTTTAAAGGAAATGAAATTAGTTTTTTTTAATTATTTATTTATTTATTTCGTGAGGAAGATCAGCCCTGAGCTAACATCCATGCCAATCTTCCTCTTTTTGCTGAGGAAGACTGGCCCTGAGCTAACATCCGTGCCCATCTTCCTCCACTTTATATGGGACGCCACCACACTATTGCCTGACAAGTGGTGTGTGGGTGCACGCCTGGGATCCGAACTCGGGCTGCCAGCAGCGGAATGCGCGCACTTAACTGCTGTGCCACAGGGCCGGCCCTTAATTTCTCCATGTTACCCTTTCTTTTTGGGGGGGCAGGAGGGCGGGGGGAGGAAGATTGGCCCTGAGCTAACATCTGTTGCCAATCCTCCTCTTTTTTTGCTGAGAAAGACTGGCCCTGGGCTAACATTGTGCCCATCTTCCTTTACTTTATATGTGGGACGCCTGCCACAGCATGGGTTGATAAGCGGTGCGTAGGTCTGTACCCGGGATCCGAACCTGCGAACCCTGAGCCACTGAAGCGGAGCAGGCGAACTTAACCACTACGCCACCAGGGGCCCCTCATCTTAACGTTTCTTAAGAATAGGAACCATGTTGAGTTCATTTGCCAATTCTCAGTGCCTGTTTGTCTTTTGCATATTAAATGTATTTGTATTTATTGGATGAATGAGTTAAACTAGGGGAGAAGAAGAAAGAAGAAGGAAGGAAGGAAGGTTAAATGATTTGAAAAAGAGAGAAAGAGGAAAAGGGAAGAAAATAGAAAAGAATGATACAATGAAAGAGACAGAGAATTGTGACCTGGAGCACTATTGTGGAACAAGTAGAAATTGTTCCCCTTTAGAGATGCTAAAATCCGATCTACAGACATCAGCAACACGTGTTATGTTGCAGTGGCTTACATTACCCTACCAAAGACCCATAACAAAACTCCAAGTTTTCTGTCATTGGTTGATAGCTCCATGGATGAGGTGAAGATACCTGTTATGTGGAAATTGCCTCTTACTAGGGTTCCTTGTGATCCTCAGTGAAGCACTAATGACTACCTGGTGGGAAATGGTGATAGCTCTTTCTTTGTGATAATGGTGGTAACTCTTTCTTCATTTTTAAATGAAGATTTAAAATGTGATCCCATTTGTATATGCTTTGACGAATGTGCTTCTGAATTCTTTTTTTAATAATTTTATTTATTTATTTTTGTCCCCCCAAAGCCCCAGTAGATAGTTGTATGTCATAGCTGCACATCCTTCTAGTTGCTGTATGTGGGACATGACCTCAGCATGGCCGGATAAGCGGTGCGTCGGTGCGCGCCCAGGATCTGAACCCGGGCCGCCAGCAGCGGAGTGCGCGCACTTAACTGCTAAGCCACGGGGCCGGCCCTCTTCTGAATTCCTTACATCAGGAAGAAGTGGCACATAACATATTAGTGTGGACTCTAATCATACAGACCTGAGTTTTATCTTGGGTCTGTTGCTTACCAGTCGTGTGACCCTGAACAAAGTCTCTTAATATCTTTTAGTCCAAGTTTCCTCATTTGTAAATGAGATTGTTGTAAGAATTAATTGAGGGAACGCGTGTAAAATACGTTGAAATGGCTCAATAATATTAGCTGTTATTATTAAATCTAGAAATGGAACAAATCTAATCAAAATAGTGAAACCATTGCCTAAATGAATGACAGTTTTTGCGTTTTTCCTTCTTTTTTTTCATGCTATAGAAGTCATTGTCGTTACAACCAGGGATGTCCAAAAGGCTCTATGTGCAGAATTCAGGATGAAAATGAAGCCAGATATTGTGTGTATTCCTGATGAAGCTGACATGGGAACTGCAGATTCTCTGCGCCGCATATATCCAAAACTTAAGGTGAAAAACTGTTTCTCGGTTTTTATTGTTTATTCAAGGTAAATATCATCTTATGTTTTCCCAGTGCATTACGGTTTACAGTACTTTCTTTCTTTCTTTTTTTTTTTTTTTGTGAGGAAGATCAGCCCTGAGCTAACATCCATGCCAATCCTCCTCTTTTTGCTGAGGAAGACTGGCCTGAGCTAACATCCATGCCCATCTTCCTCCACTTTATATGGGATGCCGCCACAGCATGGCCTGACAAGCGGTGCGTCAGTGCGCGCCCAGGATCCGAACCCGGGCTGCCAGCAGCAGAGGGCGTGCCCTTAACCACTATGCCACGGGGCCAGCCCCTACAATACTTTCTTAAAAATATATTCTTGTATAACGTACTTTGTCGCCCATGTACTCTGCAACTGCTTTTTATTTGGACATTTAGTTGTCACAGTCACTGGTTTCTCATATTTTTGAGTAATAGTACATCCTTATTAAAAAAAAGATATACTTCAAAAGATTCTATTTATATGAAGTTCATAAACAAGCAAAATTAATATATAGTGACAGAAATCAGAGCGGCAGTGAACTCTGCAGATGAGAAATTGACTGGAAAGAAGTTCAAAGGAACTTTCAAAAATTCCAGACCCCCCAGATTATAATATTTGAACTTTTAGTCTCTGATTAAGAAACTAACAAGGCCATGTGGATATGAGGACACAGTCTGCCCAGTGGACTGTGGCCCATAAACGGAGAAAGATCCACCGTAAAATGTTCTGAAATTGATGTCCTTTGGAAGAAATTCATTCTGTGTGATAATGTTGCCGTCTTGCTTGAACTGGGGGTCAGACTTTCTCCTGCTATTTCTGGTGACTGCAAATAGATGTATTAATATTTTCAGCCTATCTATGCACTAGAGAACAAAAAATTAATGTAGATATGTACATGGCCTTTCCCCCTACTTTATTGGAGAATAATTTATACACAGTAAAATACACAGATATTAAGTATACAGTTTGATGAGTTTTGACAAATACATACACCCAGGTTATCATTACTCAAATCTAGAACATTTCCGTCACCGCTGAAAGTTCCTTTGTGCTTCATTTTAGTCAGTCCCCACCTCCAGGGTGAACTGCGCTTCTGATTTCAGTCACCATATATTAATTTTGCTTGTTCATGAACTAGATTTAAATGGAATCACACAATTTTATTCTGGTTTCTTTTGTTCAGTGTAATATTTTTCAGATTCATTCATATTATTGCAGATATAACTAGTTCTTTTTTATTGCTGAGTAGTAGTTCATTGAATAAATATATCACTATTTACCCATTTTCCTGTTGACGGTCATTGGATTGTTTCTAATTTTTGAATATTATGAGTAAAGCTGTTATGAACATTGTTCAGCAAGTCTTTTTGTGAAAATATTCTAGACTGTAGGGTGTACTTTATTAGAAACTGCCAAATAGTTTTCCAGGTAGTTTACATTTCCATTAACATTGTATAAGAATTGTATTTGTTCATATCTTCATCAACACTTGGTATTGTTAATCTTTTTAATTTTAACCGTTCTAGTGGGTATGTATGTAGTGGTATTTCATTGTGGTTTTTTTTTTTTGTGAGGAAGATCAGCCCTGAGCTAACATCCATGCTAATCCTCCACTTTTTGCTGAGGAAGACCGGCTCTGAGCTAACATCTATTGCCAATCCTCCTCCTTTTTTTCCCCAAAGCCCCAGTGGATAGCTGCATGTCATAGTTGCACATCCTTCTAGTTGCTGTATGTGGGACGCGGCCTCAGCGTGGCCAGAGAAGCGGTGCGTCGGTGCACGCCCGGGATCTGAACCCGGGCTGCCAGTAGCGGAGCTCGCGCACTTAACCGCTAAGCCACGGGGCCGGCCCCTCATTGTGGTTTTAATTTGAATTTTTCTGATAGTAATGATGCTGACCACCTTTTCATGTGATTATTGGCCATTCGTGTTTCTTCATGGAGTGTCTGTTTGAGGCATTTGCCTGTTTTTTAATTGTTTCCCTTTTTATTATTGATTATAGAAATTCTTTATATATTCTAGATGCAAATCTTTTGTCAGATATGTGTTGTAAATATTTTCTGCCAGTCTTTGGCTTGCCTTTTCACTTTCTTAATGGTGTCTTTTGATGACCAGAAGTTTTAATGTTGATGAAATCCAGATTACTAATTTTTTTCTTTTATGGCTAGTACTTTTTGTGTCCTAAGAAATCTTTGCTTACCCCAAGCTTGTAAAGATACTCTTTTGTGTTTGCTTCTAAAAATGTTAGAGGTTTAGCTTTTATATTTAGGTCTATAACCCATCTTGATTTCATTTGGTATGTGGTGTGAGATAGGGATAAAGATTTACTTTTTTCTGTATGGATAGTCGGTTGTTCTGGCACCGTTTGTTAAAAAAACTTTCCTTTCCCCATTGAATTGCACTGGTGCCTTAGTTGAAAATCAGTTGACCATATATGTGTGGTCTATTTCTGTCCTTTTTATTTTGTTCCTTTGGTCTATTTGTCTATCTTTACTTCAATACTACATTCAATAACATCTTGATTATTTTAACTTTATAGTAGATCTCAAAATCGATTAATGTAAATCTGCCAACTTTATTCCTTTTCCTTCAGATTGTCTTGGCTATGCTAAGTCCTTTGGATTTCCATATAAATTTTAGAATCAGTTTGTCAGTTTCTACAAAAAGAGCTATTTGGAATTTTGATTGGAGTTGCATTGAATCTATAGATCAATTTGGGAAGAATTGACATCTTCCAATCCTTGAACATTTATGTATTTAGGTTTTCTTTAATTTTTATCAATATTATTTTATAATTTTCAGTGTAGAGGTTTTGAACATTCTTGATAAATTTATTCCTAGGTAAATGTTTTTAATGATATTGTAACTGGTATTTTTAGTTCTATTTTCCAATTGTTTATTGCTTGTATATAGACATACAATTGATTTTCCTATATTGGCCTTGTACCTTGTGACCTTGTTAAATTATCGATTCTTTAGTATTTTCTCTATATATCATCATGTTGCCTGTAAATAAAAACAATATTATATCTTCCTTTTTAATCTTTATGCATTTTTTTCTTTTTGTTGTCTTATTGCCTCAGCTAGGGCCTCCAGAGCAATGTATGTATACATTTCCATTCACTTTTTGGCCTCTCTTTTTGTTTTTCTATGCTTCCACCCAATAGGCTTTGGGCTTCTGATTGGGGATTTCCAATACCATAATGTTGGGTGTGTTACTTTCTGGAGTGCATCTGCTTATTTCTTTAAGGAAGATATGGGGCATTTCACTAGGGTAATGAGAAGAGAATTCTGTTATTTCACAGGGATAGATACCAGGTTTACCAAGATTAATATTATTAAAGTTTTTAGTGGTCTTCTCAGGGGCTGTTTTAGCTGCTATCTGAAAGTTTAGGATGGAAGTATAAGCTCTTTTTGTTCCCTAATCTCTAAATCTTAAAAATGTTATTTTTGGCCTAGCCTGGAACTGGAGATCCTGGGAGTCGCATGCAAATGAGTTCCTATAACTCTTAGAGGCTTGAGAAGTAATAGTAGCAGCTATTAATAGGAGAGGGCAAGAGGAATAGAGTAAAGTAACTGCCAAAAGGACATTTTACTCCCAAGTTATTGCCTCTTCTTATGGTTTTGATCATTTACTCCTTATTTTAGGGCTTCTCTTTGCATCTAAGATCGGAATCCTCATTAAGTCATTCTGCACAGTCTCATTTCTTTTCCTGCCCTACTTTTTTGTTTCCACATCATTTACACAGCATCCTTTACATATAATCCTACCTCTGAGCCTTCTCAAGCTGTGACTTTGGCTAGCAAGTCTCTGCTGTCTTTGCTGTCTCTACTTGGTTTCTCCTATACAAATGGCTCCTGAAATCCTGGCTTCACATCAACTTGCATTCCGACCAGAGTAGAAGACAACAAAGCTAACCTGTGGAGGAACATAAGTAGACTCCTAAATAGCCATTAAGAACAAAGTAAAACTTGAGTTAAGCCAAAATTCAGTACTGTCTTGTTGGGATCAACATAAACTTGTAGGAAGGGCAGAGGAAATACATATAAACAGTTGAAGAAAGTGACACAGCCTGAGAAGTGTTTCTTAAGGGTTGTCAGGGACTCTCTAAAGGAGAAAGTTGTACCCCCAGACTGTGCCATGGTTTAAAAGCAATGCCCCTTTGAACCAATTTAGTTCTCTTCTCCTGTGCCCACAAAGCAGCCTTCTAACCATTTGGAGACTCTTTTGGTCTGTTTTTAATAAGATTTGAGGCAACATAAGAATATTCCTTTTGAGAGTTTTGGGTTTATTAGCTTTTGGTTCTTTTATCTTTACCCACTTCCTCCAGATTGAGTTCCCCAGGTATTACTGTGAGGTTATCTCATGTGGCTTCTGCTTTTCTCAGAGAAAGACCACAGTAGTATATTAGCTTTATTTGGCTTTTTTGTTTAAAATATATTTCACCATTTTAATTTATAATTTTTTTCATTTACATTGCATTTGCTAAATGTATTGCAGTCCTGCCTGTATGTGGAAACTTCCAACATGTGTGCTTATGGGATATTGAAGCTGGACATTATATTTGCTATGTTATGTTTTTTCAACTAAAGAACACATATTTCATTTGATTTTATTCTTCTGGCACTGTTTTCTACTTCATTTTGCCTTATCTCATCCCACAATTTTACTGATTTACTGGCTTCTCACTTTTTATTTCGGCTGCCCAAACCTCTTTCCCTGACTTATCAAGAGAGATTATTGGCTCATTCATTCTCCCAGGCCCTGGGTGAGTGAGCTCCATTATTATAACTGGTGTTGGTAATATGAAAGTTCTTAGATTTTGTATTTTCTCCATGATAGTGTTTCATATTTGTTGATGAATGATTCAGTCTTATCTATATCTGAACTCATTCATTTAGCAAATACTTATTCAGAGTCAACTAATAATAATGCTTATAATTGCTATTTATTAAGCACCAATTGTGGACCATAGTT